CCTAAAAGAGAATAAGTGTTCATATCCTTCTTGATTCTCATGCATATCAATTAGATAATCTCCAACCTAGCACATTTTGTTTCATCAAATTTAAATTTGATGAAAACAATTCTCAATTTTATTTTATTTTTTGGGATGAAAACAAGCACCTTTTGTTGCTCCAACCCTCTCACCAAATAAGTATCAAATCCAATATTTCTCAAATGTTTCATCAAATTGAGGATGGATGTACCCTTCATCAAATCACTGTTCATAGGAGTTGGAGCTGTCATTTTCACCACTAGACAACCGGGCGGTTGTCCTCCTGGATGACCACCTCATTGCAAAAATTTGTGAAAAAATTACACTGGTTGGTTAACCGATTGGACATTTGCCTGGTCATTCGCTCGGTTGACCAGTGTTTTGATTAAAGTTCAAAATCCTCCGTTGGAGTGCATGGTATCAGATGGAGTTTTACTCAGATTTGGTGAAAAAAAAAAGAAAGATACAATGTTGGAGATGCTTTTCCAGTTAGCAAACATAAAATTTTGGTGGAGAAAATTCAATACAATCTTATCTTCAAAGTTTCTCCAACCTTCTCTTACCTTCTATCCTTTTCTTTTTGTCTCCAAACCTTATCTCATTTCAACCTTATCTTAGTTCGTCCCTATCTCCATTTTTCTCCAATCTTCTACCTTATTCCATCAATTTTATCTTCTTATCTACAACCACAATGATATCTCTTTTTACTATTCACAACATTCCCCCGTGGATAACTATATACTAAGAAAATAGTACAATATTGTGATATTCTTAGATTGCCTGATTAAAACCTTACTAAGGAAAATCCAGTGAGAAGAACCTTAGATGAAGGAAAAAGAGTACAATATGTAATTTTAATCAAATAGATGACCCCCTCTCAATGCTGCATAATAAATCTTTATGTCGACGCATCCCAATATTATGCATTGGCTTCTTGAATGTTGTAGTCAGTAGAGCTTTAGTAAATAGATTTGCCAGATTATCACTTGAACATATTTGTTGGATATCAATATCATTGTTCTTCTGAAGCTCATGAGTATAAAAGAATTTTGGTGAAATGTGCTTGGTTCTATCACTTTTGATATAATCTCCTTTAATTTGTGTGAAACACATAACATTATCTTCATATAATATGGTTGGGCTATCGTTTGTTGAAGATAATCCACACCTTTCTTGAATATGATGGATCATAAATCGTAGCCAAATGCATTCTTAACTTGCTTCATGAATTACAAGTATCTTTGAGTAACTTAAAGTAGTAGTCAATATTTGTTTTACTGATCGCCAAGATATCTAGCATCTGCATATCCAATTCGTTGTGGCCTTGGTTTATTTGAATAAAATAAATGCATACTTATTGTTCTGCGAAGATAACGTAATATCTACTTCACTCCGTTCCAATGTCTTTAGGTTGGTGCAGAACTATATATTGCTAGTAAGTTGACAGCAAATGCAAGATTAGGTTGGTACAATTTGCAAGATACATAAGAGCACCAATTGCACTAAGATATGGTACTTCAGGACCAAGGAGTTCTTCATTATTTTCTCGAGGTCGAAGAGAATCTTTCTTTATATCAAGTGATCGAACAATCATAGAAGTACTCAAAGAATAAGTTTTATTCATATAAAAGTTCTTCAAGACTTTTTCTGCATATGTTGATTGATGTACTAGATTCCCGTTTGGCAAGTGTTCGATTTGTAGGCTGAGACTAAATTTCATTTTACCAAGATCTTTCATTTCAAATTCATTTTTAAAATAGAGGAAATATCATTTTGCCCCCAAACTTTCATGCGTTTTTCAATTTGACCCCTAGACTTTGACTAATATCAATTTTACACTCAAACTTTTGAAATTTCGATCAATTTGACCCCTACTATTCCATTCTATCTACAATTGGACGGAATGTGCTGACGTGGCATTAAAGTTCATTTGGAATTTCATTTTACCCCCAAACTATATCTTAAAAATCAATTTGCCCCCCAAATATTAAAAAAATTAAATTTTAAATAATATATACATTGCGAAAAAAATAATAAAATATAACGATCTGGGTTTTGGACCCGACCTTCATCGTATTCTGGACTTGGGTTGCAACATAACATTGTTTCTGTGTTTCGTTTTCCTCCTTTAACTCTTGAATTTGAGTTTAAAATTGTATTAGGTGTGTTTGGGGCTTGTTGGTTGTTAGTTGGTTCAAATAGTTTCTTCCCAGATTTTTGGCTTTCTCGCTCGAGCGAGCTTTGTGAAACCTGCTTCTTTGCTCGAGCGAGACTTCTTGTGCTCGAGCGAGCTTTGAGGGTCTTCAAGTTTTTCTCAGACACAATTTCTGCTCAAGCGAGACTTCTTGCGCTCAAGCGAGACTTGTGCATTCCTTCCTTCGCTCGAGCGTGTGTCTGCTTTGTGGCAGACCTGAAGCTTTGAATTGTGCGCTCGAGTGACACTTTTTGCACTCGAGCGAGGCCACTTGTTGTGTAGGGTCGCTCGAGCGACAAATCCTTCGCTCGAGCGAGGATCGCGATCTCAGCTTTTTAAACATAGCGATTTTAGATCATTTGGACACAACACTTCTCCTACTCTTCATTCATTTTCTCTCCCTTTTCAAAACCCTAACTTTCTACCATCAAATACCTCCCATACACTTGTGATTCACCCAAAATCGTTTGCTAGGGGCGGAAAGCACTTGAAGAGGGACATTCTCAACCAATTTGATTGTGGGTTTGTAGTAGATTCGTGAAGGGGCTTGGACATTTGGCTCTATAGTTGTGGTAGGGATACTTTTACCCTTGTATGTCTTCATTATTGAAGAGATTTATGGTATTTAATGAGATTTGTGCATTAATTGTAGATTTTGTGATATTGAACCCACATTCCTCTTTTCTTTATTTCTTTTCTTTTGTTTATCAATGGTTAGAAATTTCCCTTCTCTTCTCTTCAAAATGATTAGAAATGTGATTAAGTAATTAGATTAGTGATAAAGAATGAGAAGCCCTAAATTTGGTAAAACCCTAGGTTTCTAATTTAATAGGAATTACTTTGTGTGATGAAATCTTCTCTTAGATCAATGACATGGATAAATAAAGGAGAAATGAAATGTGGCATTTGATGTGGTTAGAGAAATGGTGATTTGAATGCTATGGTTTACTGAAATTTATGAGTTGCTTATCTATGATTATGTTTGATGATTCAAATGTGGGTTTGAGATGTGATCTAAATTGTTAACATGCATGAGTCCTTGTGTGTGTGTTGGGGAAGTGTACAGATGGTGTTGTGTCAGTACCCACGCGGGGAGTTTAAAAAGGTGCCCAATTGCCTTGTCTAGGCTTATCGCTGGACGAATGTGGGAAAGATGTTTTTGGGTGTCCAAACAGTCCCTCCGTATAGTAGCCGGCGAAAGTGGAAAAAAAAGATGATTTTCTTAGGGTGCCCATCTCCCGCCGTATAGTAGCCGGTGAATGTGGGGGTTTTTTTTACAAAGTAAAGGTTGTTCTTGGTTGGGTTTGTGTTAAAAGGAGTGTAGTCTACATCTCATGTTTGTGGATATTTGATTGGATATTTGATTGTAGTACTTGATTGATGAGAGTTGTGATTATCCTACTATCGTAATGTACTTCATTATGAATTGTTAACCGTGTCCATGTGAAAACAACCTTAATAAAACATTTTATCTCATGGAAATCATTATCTCATTCAAAAGATTAGATACATGGATAAATGTATTCCTACCGGGCATCTAGCCCAACCCTAATTTAATTTTTCAGGAATCAATGAAGGGCAGCCTCATTGAAAGATTTGTTCAAGCACTAGCGTCATCAATTTTTGGGAACTAATTGAAGTCAAGGACTCTAATAGTTATGTGTTTATATTGGGATCTTTGTAATAGAATTACTCTTTATGTTTTGTAATGTTGTATGCCCAGGAGGCCTTGTTTTGTAAATTATCTAGTTCACTGAACGGGGAGGTAGAATGTTTTGAACTTCTTGGGAATGTAATGTATGTAATGTAAACTTTTAATCCTTGGTCAATGAGAAAGATTATTATGTATGAAGGTTCATAAATATGGTATCGGTGTATGTAAGTGTGTGTTTTTCCAGGGCGTTACATAAAAAATATAAAAATTCTCATTTAGAATTATCTTGAGACTATGAAGCATGGATAATTTGACAAACATGTCATAATTGTACCGGGTACTTACTGACGTATGATATTTCTGCATACAACAAGTTGGGTCTTGAATGACGGAATTTTTTTGTCTCGAAAGAGCTAATTTCGTCACTATAGATATTTGTGACGAAATATTTTCATCACCAGTTTCGTCATTGAATGTTTGTCACTAAAAACCACCGTGACGAAAAATAATTTCGTCACCAATGAAATTAGTTTAGTGACGAAATTTTTTGTCACCAACAAAACAAGATTTTGTCGCCAAAAATTCTCATTTTCGTCACCAAATAATTATTCAGTACCATATTTATAATTTTAGTTGACGAATAAATTTGTCACAAATGTTGATCATTGATGAGGAAATAATTTCGTCACCATAAGATGCAAAGGTGACGAAATTTTTCGTCTCCAAAAGTCATACATGGGTGACGAAATATATTTCGTCGCAAATATATTTATATACGTGATGAAATTTATTTCGTCACAAATATATTTATCTACATGACGAAATATATTTCGTCACCAAACAACAAAATCAATGAAAACTTTCATATATGCCCTGCAATAAATTGTCACAAAAAATGTTTATTAACGACGAATAATCATTTTGTCATAATAACAAGTACAAATGACGAAATAAATTCGTCACTAAATATGTACCATATTTTATATTTCAATTTCAATTATTATTTCACAAATATCCCTGCTCATATCCCAATAGCCTTTTAATTGTATTAAGAAATCCACTAGCTATTATACATCACTCCACAAAAAAATTCAGTAAACAATTTATATTACAAATCAAAATATATCCATCAAACAACTTTAATAATATAAACCATTAAGTATAACAAAAAAACCATCAAAGCAAATCCTAAAATGAACTAACGTGGAATCCACAAAAAAAAATCAACACTCAATCTTGATTTGCAACTACAACTAAGTATCAGTTCAGGAAACAAAATTCAACAGTTGATCTTCATTTGCAAGTATACTTCCAAACGTTATCAAAAACCAATCTGCAAAGAAAATAAACAAAGAAAACATTAATATATTATCAATTACATCTAAACTCATATATAAATAATTTTATTTTATAAACCAATTTAGTAGAAATGCATGTAACAAATCAAAACTTCAAAGAGTTGAGGTGATCCTTGATGACAAAGCAACACGGATAACATAAGATGCCAAAAGATTGCAAGAATACCATATATCACTATCACTATCACTAATGGTAAAATATAACGTAGCATTGAGGTACATTTGATTCACAACAATGGGCTATATTCATTCATTTGGACACTCGCATAATAATAATGCAGAAGCACTTGCCTCTGGAGACTCAATTAAATTAATAAATAAAGCGAAAATGAAAACATGATTTTCCAGAGGAACAAAATGAGGCAAATCAAAAGACCAGCATTTACATACCTGCCAAAGTATAACTTTTTGATAACGTATGCGCAGAGTAATCCAATCTGCAAGAACAAGTAAAATGGCTTACAGATTTGCACAAATATTTTCTTTTTGTCAAAGAGACAATTCACAAGCAGCATACATTAAGTTTTGAGTGGAAGCAGCAGAAGCCATGACAGCTTTAAGAGCACATCTATGAGGCCCAAAAAAAACTTTTTCCAGGGGCGTATGCAGTCACAAACCACTCTAATAAGCTAAGAGTGTGTTTGGATTAAAGGGTTTAGAATTCTAGAGATATTTGAAATAATGATTCAAAATTGAATAATTTTAAATCCAAAAAACTCTTCTTTGAACTAGTTTCGTATATCTGGATATTTGCATACTTTCAGTAACTGAAAGAATTACAACATAAGACTGTATTATTAAAAATTCATAGAATCATGTAACAAGGATAGTCATAATTTTGATGAGCTAAAAAGAAAAGGAGAAAAACAAAAAAATATGAAAAGAATATGAAAATACGAGTGCTTTGGTACGCAACTTAAGCTAGCACCAGCTAAAAATAAAGTTTGCTAAATATTCCTCCTTTGCTTCTTATATAGTCCAATTGAGCACAATGAAGACAATATATGATTGGTTGGCTAACAGAAATTGAATGTTTGTGTCAAATAACAAGGACAACACCACTAAGAGGGAGAAGTTGAAGCCTCGAGAACAAGAGATAGACCAACAGATATGAATGTAAGTTGTGAGAAAGCACATGATCTCAAGAAAAGACTTCTTTAGCTAGGACAAAGTGGTTGAAATGTGGCTTCACAGGTATAGCTGCAGCTTTGTTCCCCACTCTCAAGTTGATGCTTTTCCTTTCTCAAGTTGTTTTCTCTCATGTTATATTTGCTCTTCCATTTTCTTGTTTCTTCATCTATACTAATATATAATGGGAAGCCTAAACTTGGTGTCCATATTTTATGGAAGTTGTGTCATGGTAGTTTTGTTGACCAAAAAACCATACTATTTGATGACTTTGGCATTTTACCCATAGGGGTAAACATGTAATATACAAAACCTTATAAACTAGTGAACTTAACAAACCACTTTCCAAAGGCCACATTCTCATGACAGTTACATTCTTGAGAAGGCCATGTTCTCCTCTTTACTGTTCCATTTTTTGCTAGAAAAAGAAGACATTAATTATGGTGGCTTTGTTGAGCGAAGTATTTTCCATTTTCACTGCTTTCAAGTTTCATCTGGCCTTCCAAATTGCACATTGCTATAGCTATAGACGGATTTGAGAGATATAATTTGATATAATTTTTCCAATTCTTAACGTACTGAAGAAAACATTCAACCATATAGAAAGCAGGACAAATGAAGAAAGTACAAATGAGTCATGCACTGGATTTCTGCAATTAAAATGTAAGTATTCTTTTTATCTTTCGCATCACATTTGCACCCAGATTCGGTTTCACAAACTTTGGAGCCAAGCATGGAAACTAAAATTTTACATTAACCATACTATTTCCACAATTGAAAAACTGTTACACTCCTCAGATTTTAAATTCAATCAATATGCATATGCATCATGTGTGCCACCATCTATTAAAAGTCCTTATTATGCTAAATCATCCTAATGATATATACAAAACAACGGCAATCATAAAGTGATATACAAACTTGACCAACCCACTGCCTGAGACTCAATAAATGTTACTTCATTTCTTCTACTATGAAAAACTCAATCAAAGACACACTCATTATTAATCACATCACTAACTTAGAGCAATTCCAACACTGCCTAGCAAAAATACACAAAAAAGTAAACACATAGTCTGGTCTCTACTTTGGTTAGTGTGTATTTTAACTAGGGTCATGCTAAGTAAGAATTTTGATAATGAATCTATTTTCATTAAATACATCTTCAAACTTGTTACATCTTAGTTAATAAGTAGTCAAACTACTGTACTTTAACTAGTATATACTAACCAACATGAGAAAAATAAAAAGATAAACAAGCGAGACTTACCGAAAAGGCGATGTACGAGTTCATGGGATACCTCCTCCTCTAAATTGTCCTTTGAAACCTTGCTTCTTAAGAAACTCCATGATGTTGATCATTATGGATGGGGAATGCATTATAGTCCCTATAGCTGGCTATTTCTTTTGATTGGTCACAGGAGTTGCAATCAATCCAGCTGCTCTGTCAACTTCTACAGATGGTGTAAAGAGGGCAGAGCTTTCTTAAGATTAGTTTTTCCTTGCAGATGGTACTAATGCTACAAAATTGATTCATCTATATTTCAAATTTAATTTTTCATTACATGCCAGCTTTTTTATTATTCTTGCTAAGAAGATTTAGATGCTAATCTCAAAATTGTTTATACTTTCATAAATATTAAATTGTTAGAAGTGTTGTAGCTTGTAAATATGACTTATCAATAATTATGGAAGAACATTGATCTAGGGTTCAAGTCTTTGCGAAATCTGTATTATTCATTCTTTGAAACATGGCAAAACGATGCAACATGTAGTACCACATTTTTTCCTAGCTGCTGTGTCTAAACACATTTGGTTCCTTGTTTCGGGGGGTGAGCAATCCATGTGGTGCCAATGGTTAAATCCTACCTTTTAAAAGGCTATAGTTTTTGGAGAGTCAGGGTCCCTAGTAATCCCTCATGGGTTTGGAGGAAACTGTTCTCGTAGTAGCCTCATATACCCTCTGATCAAATGTTTGATAGGCTCTAGTGAGAATACCTTTCTCTAGTATGACAATTGGCATCCATTAGATTCGCTGTGGTCTAAGTATGGGGATAGGCTCATTTATGATACTACTCTTGATAGCAATTCTAAAGTGAGGTCTATTGTGACTGATAGTGGGTGGCAGTGGCCCAATAATTCCTCTTGGGAGGTACAAGAGATCATCTCTACCACTCCCCCTGATTTGACACCTTCCCCGTTGAGGGTTGACAAAGTTATTTCGGCTCCTAATAAGGATGGTAAGTTTAGTATTGGGTCTGCCTGGCAGCAATGGCTTTCCAAGTGGCCTAAGAATCAATGGGCTGGATTACTCTGGGGCCCTCATTCCATACTTGAAGTTAGCTTTATTGTGTGGATGGCTATCCTTGGTAAACTCAATACGGGTGATAGGCTTACTATATTTGGCATTAACATTGCCCCCACATGCCCTCTATGTGGGCAAATTGGGGAAGATCATAACCACTTGTTTTTTCAATGCCCTTTTTCCTCTAAAATTTGGGCTGCTATCCTTGGGAAATGCAATGTGAACTGGACTTGTAATAGCTGGAATGATTGGGTGGGTATGGTGGCTAGAGATTGCAAGGGTAAATCTCTATCTACCATTATTAAGAAACTTGGCTTCTACTGCACTGTTTATCAAATTTGGTTGGAAAGAAATAACAGGGTGTTCAATAAACAAAGGAAGCCTAAAGAGGTTGTCCTTTAGAGTATCATATGCATGGTTAGATACAGGTGTCTGGCCTTGAAGAACATCAAGAATTCACCCACTGATGATCGGTTTCAGCAAGAATGGAGGCTCCCAGCCACCATTCTTAAATTGAGTGGAGTGTAGCTTTCAGAGGGTTAAGTGTTGGTGAGTTACCAATTGAGGGTTGTGTGATAAGAGGCTCTACAGGGAGGTGTACTAATCTTTATATCTATATCTGTTACAGCTGCAGGTACAGAAGGATGCTTACCAAGAGTGAGGTATGTGAGTTCAGATATAGTGGGTTGAGTGCTGTGAGCCTGAAAATGTGTGTTATACTAATGCTATTAACTCTCTATAATATTCTTGAAGGAATTTGGTGGAGGTACAGTGGCAAGAACAAGGAAAACCTACATGAATAACTTCAAACTTCTCAATATTTGCACCTAATGTTTACAACCACTGACTGGTATTCCCTCAACAAACCTTGTCTAGTTAATTGAGATGGATTTTGAGGCTTTAAAGCGAATTTTCAAATGCCTTTTTCAGGTTGGATTACCATATGCATTGGTTAAATATCAATAAATAAGCTACCTAACCATAGCTGACACTGAGTTTTTCTTTTCTGGTTTTCGTCATGTATGTATTTGCAAGCAGAAGTAATTTTCTAATAAGTAACTCTTTTAGCAGTTTAAACCTAATCAATTAGTCAAATTTGCAATGTTGGCAATAATGCAAGACATATAATGACAATCATGGTATAAAGTGACCACCGTATCAACTAGTAGAGCTTTTGTTTACATCTTTAATTTTTCAAGTGTTCTGACAGCTTTATATCCGTAATTTAGGGATAAACAAGATAAATCAAGTCAATGTGGGGTATTCATGATAATGGTAAGCCATGACGAAAGGGTTAAGCAAAATTGGGCATTGTATTATCGTAAGTATGCAGTACCAAAGAGGCAAGAATTGCATAAAATGAGTCTTCCTATGAAAAAAAAATAATATGGTGACAACTTGATCAATCTACTCCATTATATGCACTATGAAAAAAATAAGCTATTTGAACCAAATCGATTATAATGGTAAACAAATTAAGCTTGAACATATTTTCATGTCTGTTGAGTTTTCAAACCAAGCTTTGACAACCTACTACTCGCTCGACTTGAATCGACTCAACTCGTTTGCAATATGAAACGCTAAAAAGGGAAAAGAAAGATAGTATTCATGATTTTACTCATTCAATTTGAACCAATTTCAAATCTAACCTGAACAACAACCAAATAAACCAAAAAAAAAACTATATATATCCAAATCATAACAAATATTAACATACCCAGAAACATCAGACATTTAATTTATCAAAATTAGATTCAATTGCAGATGGGTTTTCCCAAACTCTTGAATTTACGAACATAATTGAATCGAACACAGAGAAAGGAGGTCAAAAGAGGGTGACCTGTTGTTGAATCCTGGCCATCTCAGCGAGCGACATGCGACTCATCTGCTCTTGGGTGAGTCTCATCAATTCAGGATCCATCATTCCGTTGAACATTCTCGAAGCCCTTTCACGCAATCAATGATCAACAACAACTATTAAATTGCAATAGATCTTCGAATGTTCGAACGAAGAACTACGGTTTGAATTCGAGGAAACAGAGAATTTCGAGAATCGGAGAGAATTTTTTGATTGGGTTTTTTAGATTTCGATTGAGAGAAGCATCTAACTTTGGCACATGCAACCAATGTGTATATATATATATATATACACACGGCCGAGCACATGCGATGTGCAATTTCTTTTTGAATTATAATATTTTTTTTATATTTTGTTCTTAATAATATACATATAAATTATATGATTAGTAATTATGTACAATGTAATAGTTGATATTAATATATTTGATAAATGAAGTATATGTACATTAAAATATGTACAAATCTTTAAAAAAATATAATATTTACTAATCTTAACTAAAAAATCTGTACAACAAAAGTTTATATAAATTCTAAATTTGGTAACATGAGACTGGAGATCCTGTAAATCCTGCAATATATATATATATATAACATATATGTAAAGATTAGTTTGCTAATAATATAAATTGATTAAATTAAAATTTTATGTTCTTAAAGTGAGCCATAATTATACATATGCGTACTTTAGCTAATAAAGTACAATAATAACTTTGATTTTCTAATTGACTATTATGTGTAAAGACACAAAAGGTAATTATTGTGTTAATTTTTTATAAACAAAATTAAAAACTTACATTTTAACATAGATTGACATAGTCCAAATCACATGTCACGTTCAACTTTTTTTCTCACCAAAAGTCTCAAAATTTTGACGCCACCCAAAAAAATTAGAGGGAAAATCTTTGGTGGCGAATTTAATTTTTTCTCACCTAAAAGAAGTATTTATTGTCGAAAATAAATTTTGTAACCTATTATTTTTACATTTTTATTATATGTGACAAAATTTTATAATTCGTCACGGATTATCCTTATTTAGTATCGAAATTTATTTTATTCACTACATTTCGTCATCATAGGTTATTTAGAGAGCTAATTAACTTGTGTTTTGTTTTGAGAGAGAGGAGATAGGAAAACTGATATATAAAAAATAAAAATAAAAATAAAAAGAGGAAAAAGTTAGTAGTCTATTTTTTTTCATTACCACCAAATATGTCAAAATTTTCCTTTCAAAATTAGTGACAAAATAATTTCCTCACTAAAAAGTCTCACAATATTAAAAATTATTAGTGACAAGAATATATTTCTCACCAAATGTTCTTCAAATATTTAAAATCAAGTTTTCAAAAAATATATATATTAAATTATTAGTGATGAAAATATATTCCTCACTAATAATTTTATAATTTGTGACAAAATTTTTTCTCACCAAAAGTCTCAAAATTTTGGCGCCACCAAACAAGAATTAGCGGGAAAACCTTTGGTGACGAAACTTAATATTTCCTCACCTGAAAAAAAATATTTGTTGACGAAAATAAATTTCATCACCTATTGTTTTTATTTTTTATTATATGTGACAAAATTTTATAATTTGTCACAGATTATTCTTATTTAGTGACGAAATTTATTTTCTTCACTACTTTTCGTCACCATAAGTTACTTTTGTTGTAGTGATATGTACCAGGTACACAAAACACGCATTTTTCCTTCTTAATTTTTGGCGTACCCAGACATATCTACTATATAACCAAGCCGTGTCGCACCTCAATCGAAATAATATTTTTCTAAAATTAAATTATGGTTTGTAAGTTATTTAATATAATAATATTTAATTTTGGTTTATCTTATACCTGTACTTTTGGCTTTAAATGTCAACTGTATACTGGATTTAACAAATTAAACCATTTAATTAATTTTTGTATTATTCCAAGTTAAAAACAAATATTTTTGTACAAACATAGTAAACCGTACCCGTACCCTACTTTTTTTTAAAAAAGATTTTACCTTGTTGACGTACTCATATCATATCAATACCAATACTCATACCCATATCTATGTTTCATAGGTCTCAAATTATCTCGAGTCGATCCTAGAGAAACTTATTAAACCAAAAATTTCTTAACTACTCTATATGTGTGTGCGCGCGCAATTGTAACTAGTTTATTACCCAAATTAATTTCAATAAAATTGATTGACTAATAGTAATTTCAAAATTGAGTGGGAAAGAAATTTCAAAATTCAATAAGTACCCGGTATAGGTACGGTATACTCGTCGAAGTACCCATGCTTCATAGTCTCAAGATAATTTTAAATGAGGATTTTTATATGTTTTTATTATTTTTTTGCAAAGCATATATTATTTAAAATTTAATTTTTTCATTATTGAGATAAAAAATTATTTATTAAATACTTCAATTTAATTTTTTTTATATTTGGAGGGAAAATTGATTTTTAAGGTATAGTTTGGGGGGTAAAACGAAATTCTAAATGAACTTTGGTGCCACGTCAACACATTCCATCCAATTGTAGACTAAATGTGATGGCAAGGGCTAAATTGATCAAAATTTTGAAAGTTTGGATATAAAATTAATATTAATCGAAGTCTAGGGGTCAAATTGAAAAATGCGTGAAAGTTTGGAGGGCAAAATGATATTTCCTCTTTAAAATATTCTACAATTTTTGTTAGCTCTTCTGGAGTTTTGACAAGATTCAAATCATCAACATATACAACAATAATTGCAAATCCGGATTCTAATTTCTTAATAAAAATGCATGGGCAAATTGGATCATTTCCATCCCTCTTTTAACAAATATTCACTAAGGCGATTGTACCAAATTCGTCTGAATTGTTTCAACCCATATAAAGATCTTTATAGCTTCATAGAATAAGCACTTCTAGGGTTTGAATTAGATGCTTCTGGCATCTTAAATCCTTTAGGGACTTTCATATATATATATATATATATGTATGTATCACTATCTAGTGATCCATGTAAATATACTGTAACCATATCCATTAGATGCATATTTAAATTCTCTGTGATTGCCAAGCTAATAAAAAATCTGAATGTAATTACATCCATTACGAGTGAATATGTTTCCTAATAATCAATACCGGGTCTCTACGACAAGTCGTGCTTTATATCTTACAATTTCATTTTTCTTATTGTGCTTCCTAACAAATCCCTATTTATATCCCATAAGCTATATTTCTTCTGGGGTTTGGACTACCAGTCCAAATACTTCACATTTCGTAAGCGAATTTAACTCCGCTTGTATTGTTTCTTTCCACATTGGCCAATCATTTCTCTATTGACAATCCTCGACAATTCGTGGTTCATTATCATCATAACTTCTGATAATGTTTCACAATTACTTCTGGTAATGTCAAGAGCAATTTTAAATGAAAATATTTTGTCGACAATAGTTTGATTTCTATCCCAAACATCTCATGTACTTATATAATGTATTGACATCTCATTATTTTCAGGTATATACCTTTTCCACTTCAGGGGATAACTCTTCAGGAGATGCCTCTTCTAGAGATTCCTCTTTAAAAGGCATATCAGTAGGAGATTTGGATAGACTTACTGTAGCCTATTTTGTAGTTCTAATCTCTTTAGGAGTATTTTTATGTATGGTTATGATCTTTTCAGGAGATTTAGTTACAGTCTCTTCTAGAATACCAACTGGATGTTCTTGAGTTTTTCTTTTTTTAGGAATTTTATCCTTTGCACCAATAGGTCTTCCACGTTTTTGGTGCATCTTAGACTCATTTGCTATTATGCCCATTGATTGTCTGACAGGGACATCAATTCGTGCTGGGTATTAGTAGCTGGTATGTGAGATTTTGTCACATTCTTTGTGTTAGTGAATGCATTTGGTAATTGATTTGCAATACCTTGTAAATGAATGATGCTTTGAACTTCTAGTTCATATTGATTAGTATGAGGATCAAGATGTGATAACATTAAAGTATTCCAAGTGATTTTCTGTCAAGCTTCTAGCTGCGAGTTTTCTCTCCTGAATGATGGGGAAATTATTTCATCAAAATGACAATCTTCAAACCGTGCCTTAAACACATCACCAATTAAGGTTCTAGATATCTAATGATTGATAGAGAATTAAAACCAATATAAATTCCAATTCTACGTTGTGGACCCTGTAGGGGTATAATAGGGACATATATAGCACAATCAAATACTCTAAGTGTGATAACCATGTTCCTTATTAGGCTAATTGGTCCTTATTATGAGTGTGATTATGTGTTTGACATGACTTTGTGTGCCATTTATGTGAAAATATGTGGTTTTGAATTTCTATCTGTTCACCGTAGGAATATCTGTTTGATCATCTGCTTGGGAATTTAAATTGAAGGCCTTATCGGCCACAAAACCCGAAATTGACTACGCTATTGTGATTAGCGTAATTTTTAGAGCCTATGGTGAAATCTAATTGAAAATTGAGTCTGATCAAATTAAATAGATTAAATTGGTGTTATAGTGTTCAATTATTTAATCTTAATTAATTGTGCTTATGAGAACACATATAAGGGGGGCATTATACACTTAATTCCACCTCTTTTAAGTCATTTTGGCTGAGATCAACTCTCTAGAGGAAGAAAGAACTGACTTTGAGAGAGAGGGAAGGCATCATTGTGTAATTTGGCTCAAGGTTTGTGAGATTTGAAAGCTAGGCTCAAGGATTAACCTCAATTGTGAAGATTAAAGCTCCTAGGTGAGTAAATTCATAGATTTTAGTTTGTAACTTTGCAAATTCAAAGTTGAATGATGATCAAGAGCATGAATTGAGTTAGTTTTGATGAATTGGGAGCCAATGTACACATGCATGTAGGAGATTGCCATGGATTGTATGTTTGAGCTTGAAATTTGCATGAGCTAGCATGAATAATGTTGAACATGGAGAATTGGGCATCAATCTTCACATGCATGCATAATTTTCATGGGTTCCACGATAATAAGTGTCATTTGCATGATTTGAAATAGAAATGAAGTCAAAAATTTGCATGCATGTTTGATTATGGAAGATATGGAGCCTATGTAAAGTTTGAATGTATGAGCCTTGATTATTCAAAAGAAATGTTGATTAATTGTGAAGATTGAACCGTGATTTCGAGCAATTGGCTCCATATTGTTTGTGTACTTATGATATATATTGTGTTTCTCCATTTTGGTACCCTAATTCGAGCTTTGGAACCCTTGAATGTCGAATTTGAGCTCAAGAAC